CCCCCCCCGACTCTTGAGTTCAGTGTTCTTTCAATTACAAACCAACCTGCTAACGTGTTATTGGCCAAAACTGTTCTGGGCCCACATAACCCTGTTATGATTGCATAGAAATCAGGGAGACTGGAGAATTTCATTCATTGAAGGAGTGAAATTGTGTAGTGGGTGGAAAGGATGTATGTCTGCTCTGGTCTTTGCTTGTTGGTGACTTTGTGCAGAGTACTACACTTGAGCCTCAGTTTCTGCTGTAAGATAGGCATAAAGGACACCTGGAAGAGTGGCTAGAAGCAGAGACAGTCTATGCAAAACGGCAGGAATTGTTTAGTAGTGTTTCAACAGTTGTTCACTAGTATTTGAACCCTTCTGTCCTTGACTTCACCAGGTCTTTAACAAGAGCCTAAAAGGCCTCAGAATTTAATCCCTCCAACGCAAGTCTTGGTCTCTGATGAGGAATCAAAGGGAGAGGCTTTGGCAAGGTCTGGCCATCTTCCATGACACCAAAAATAAGGACAGAGCCATGCACCAAGTCCCAGAGAGCTCTCTTTCCCTCCTCCTTTCATAGCATGTCGCAGATAATATTTAACTCCATGAAGTGAAATGGAGCATCCTTAGATTTATTCTGGAGCTATATCCATGACACTCCAGAATCAAAGAAGGTTGCCAGTCTGGAATTCTGTAATCTACTGAAAAGAGCTCCTTGCTCTCTGTCCAAAGCCCTACTCACATTCCGAGGACTATTTTAGGCTATAAAGCCAAGACAGAGTATAGACACCACATCCCCATAAGCCCCATAAACCCGAGCTGGCTGAGGCTGAAGACAAAGCTTCGCCCTGGGAGCTTTAGTTGTGGCTGAAGAAGCAGGGTAGGGTCTCACCCGAGTCCCTCACTCCCGAGTAGGGATGGGCGAGAGGGGCTACCTCCCAGAAAAACCTAACCTCCCAGTAGACGGAAGAGAGATTGGAGGCCAGGGTCCAGAGCAGTGGCAGAATTTTGTGGTGTCCACATGGGAAACCTCGGTCGCTTAGGCACCTCTCTGCACAACTGGCTTCCAAAGCAGTCCATTCTCGGGGAGTCTTGGGGACTGGCACTGGGCACAGGGAATAATAGCTCCTCCGCAGAAGGCCGGGTCCCAGCGCCCCAAGTCTGTCGTGCGCGCAGCTGCAGTAGTCTCTGCTCCTCCCCGCCCCCACTCAGGGATGCACACCCCCCTCTTCCTTGAAGCTCCGCCTCTAACGCGCCACCCCGGCCGCGCCACCCCCACCCGCCGCGCCTTAAAACCGTGCGCACCCCGCGTCTCTAGCCCCGCCTGGAGCACCTCGCCCTGCTTCGCCGCTCCTGCACGCCCGGCCCCATCCCGATCCCGGCACCATGAGTTTCGGCTCCGAGCATTACCTGTGCGCCTCCTCCTCCTACCGCAAGGTGTTCGGGGACAGCTCCCGTTTGTCTGCGCGCCTCTCCGGGGTAGGCGGCGCGGGCAGTTTCCGCTCGCAGTCTCTGTCCCGCTGCAATGTGGCCTCCTCGGCCCCCTGCTCGTCGGCCTCCTCGCTCGGCCTGGGTCTGGCCTACCGCCGGGCCCCGGCGTCCGACGGGCTGGACCTGAGTCAGGCGGCGGCGCGCACCAACGAGTACAAGATCATCCGCACCAACGAGAAGGAGCAGCTGCAGGGCCTCAACGACCGCTTCGCCGTGTTCATCGAGAAGGTGCACCAGCTGGAGACCCAGAACCGCGCGCTCGAGGCCGAGCTGGCCGCGCTGCGGCAGCGCCACGCTGAGCCGTCGCGCGTCGGCGAGCTCTTCCAGCGCGAGCTGCGCGAACTGCGCGCGCAGCTGGAGGAGGCGAGCTCGGCGCGCGCGCAGGCCCTGCTGGAGCGCGACGGGCTGGCGGAGGAGGTGCAGCGGCTGCGGGCGCGCTGCGAGGAGGAGAGCCGAGGGCGCGAGGGCGCCGAGCGCGCCCTGAAGGCGCAGCAGCGCGACGTGGACGGCGCCACGCTGGCCCGCCTAGACCTGGAGAAGAAGGTGGAGTCGCTGCTGGACGAGCTGGCCTTCGTGCGCCAGGTGCACGACGAGGAGGTGGCCGAGCTACTGGCAACGCTGCAGGCGTCGTCCCAGGCCGCAGCCGAGGTGGACGTGGCGGTGGCGAAGCCCGATCTGAGTTCGGCACTGAGAGAGATCCGCGCCCAGTATGAGTCCCTGGCCGCCAAGAACCTGCAGTCCGCCGAGGAATGGTACAAGTCCAAGTTCGCCAACCTGAATGAGCAGGCGGCCCGCAGCACTGAGGCCATCCGGGCCAGCCGCGAGGAGATCCATGAATACCGTCGCCAGCTGCAGGCGCGCACCATCGAGATTGAGGGGCTACGCGGAGCCAACGAGTCCTTGGAGAGGCAAATCCTGGAGCTGGAGGAGCGGCACAGCGCCGAGGTGGTGGGCTACCAGGTAAGCGCTGCGGTGCTGCCAAGGTGAAGGCGCCCTGTCCTCCGGCCCCTTCCCGCGTGTCTCCTCCCCCTCCCGGGAACCTAAGGGAGAGGAGAGAAGCGGGGAGGATCCCTGAAGGGAGGCGTTGGCCAACAAAAGGACCTGGAGTCTCCCCCTGTTCATTTCGGGGCTGGAGAGCTCTGTTCCCTGCTCCTGGCGCCCCTATCTGCGCCCCTGTAACAAAGAAGCCAGGAACCCCTGTTCTTCAGAATCATGGAGAACGATTGTGTGAACACAGGCCTCCCTGGCAGCAGGTGGGTGTGCACACACGGGCGGCCTGGGGAGTAGCCCCACCTACCCACCCAAAGTGCCCGGGAGCCCAACCGAGTCAGACTACAGCCGCTCCGCGGTCAGCGGTGCTATCTAGGTTGTGTGGCGTCTTTGGTGGATTATGCAATGTTTTCTCTGCAACCTGGAACTAACATTAAAGGGACAAGTCGGCCCCAGAGTTGGGGGACAAATGCGACACCAGACTGGGAAAGTTCCTCCCCGGTTTTCTTGTCTTAAGATTTCAAAGGTGTAGTGATTGGGAGCCGAGGCAGTTAGGTAGTCAACTCCTGCCAGATTCCACCACCGCCTCCCACAAGCGTCCTTTGTTGACATCAAACCCCCACCTCTACCCCCGACACGAAGCTTGTACTGTACTTCCATTATCACTGTGAAAGTCGCCTGGCACTGTCCATGGTGCTGATCGGCTAATGAACCACCTTCTGGTCTTTCCGTCGCAAACGCTCTCCCCTGCTTCCTTTCTCCTTCCTCTCCTCCCCCTCCCCGCCTTTTCCCTTCCCCCTCCATCTTCTTTCTCCAGTGCCATGTCCCAGTTACAGCTTTCTAGACAATTAACTGCTTTGATTTTTTCCCTCCCCTCTGCAATATGAACACATCAGTCTTGGCTACCTGCAATCAAAGGTCACTTGGTGGACAGCAGCAATTTTCACTTTCATGGATGACTTAGCACTTAACAAAAACCATTTACTCTGTGCAGCAGCTGTGTGGTCCCATTTGAAAATTCCCATTCCCTAAACATTTTTCCATCCTAAGTGCATGTGATTAATCACAGAGGTGGAGTCGGTCTTTGTTACAGGCCATTTTTTTTCCCCCATCTTTGTATTCTAAGCTCCTGTGCCAGTATTGATTGACACTTCCCCCCTCTTCTCTCCCAACAAAGGCCCATGCATCTTCAGTTGTATTGTAGGACATTCCAGGCTCATGACCACTAAGGGCAAGCGGGAGACAGGGTGGATGAAAAGTGTAGGGAAAATTCTGAAGCGCATGGTTCAGCTTCCAGTTACAGTGAAAGCTACAGTAGATAAGATGCGAGGATTTCAGAAACTTGCAGTAATTCACCCTCACTAGGATCAAATATAACATTTGATGAAATTAATAAGACTGGGGTACTTACCATTAATAGAACTAACAAGGGAGTAGTATCTCAAGAATAATGTTTCCGTCAAGAGCTAAACAATTATCATCGGTGTGCAGATCTGCTGTTCCTTACAAAGGGAGAAAGCTTGCTTTTAACCCTTTGTTTTAGTTAGTCTGGTAGTCCTTCAACTACACATCTTTATTTTGCTTCCAAATGTGTAACCCAAGCTTTTATGCCATGTGGCCTATCCCCTGGGTGATCCAAATCACATTTGCGTAATTGAAGCCTCATGGTTTCTTCTGGAAGCCTCTGGAAGGATGAGCTAGGTGGTCGTGGTCTTCTGAAGGGCTAGCCAGTATTTCTACAAAAGGATGCCTGGCCCATATCTGCCATCTGAATGGACTTTGCCATGTCCTCTATGCGCTTGTTACAGCTCTTTCATGCTAAAAGGTAGGGACTGTGTTGTCTGGCTTGTGTTGTTTGCTTTAGAAGACCTTCTAGTGTCTGACAATAGTAGGGCCTTTGAGTCATGGTCTGCAGGAAACAAACAAAAAGAACCAACTGCGGCTTCTGCACCTCTGCAGTGCTGCTCCCAGCAGAAGCTTGGTGGAGCCTGGTGGACCTGCTGGTAGGACAGGCAGAGGCCCTCAGACAACCGAAAGCTATTTCTTAGCTCTGGGGAGCTAAGGCTTAAGTGGGGCTCACCATCTCAGCCAAGATCCTGAAGGTCAGAGCCACAGGACTATCTTCTATTTGTTCTCTGGTAATTCCAGCCAAGCTGACCACGGTGAAAACAAAAAACAAAAATCCTTCCTTTCCAGGGAGGAGATCCAGCCATTGTTTTCTTGCCCTCTCACCCCACCCCGCCCCTGCACTGCAGTACTGTAAGCTGTTCTTTCTTCTGCTTCAGTGACCCTGTTACTTTGCAAGCTTGCCACCTTCTAAGAGTCAGAGGAAGGCCCCATCAAAGTCACATTCCTCCCCACCCCCTCAGCCCACATCCCCCTCCCCACCCCTACTTGCCCCAGAGAGCAGACAACCTGCTTGAGGTGAGGATGCTTACACCTTTCAAAGGGAGAAGGAGGATTCAAGGTGACATAGTAAATACACCGAGGTGCTAGAGACCTTATCAGGCAGAGGAGAATGGTGTCGAGTTTATTGTCTTCGAAAAGAGGCAGCCAGCCCGAAGCTGAAGGCCTTGCTATACTAACCCTGCCGGGCCACTTCACTGCCTTTAAAGCCCCATCTCTGAAAAGATGCCTAAAGACATTTTGTGGAGGTTGACTGGGGCCTTGCCCCCACCCCCACCCTGTAGTTGGTCTTAGAAAGCTGCAGCTTTCCTTGAAAGACCTCGCTGAGCAATCAAGATCACTGTTGGTTAATGCTCTCCAGGGAGCGGAGCCAAGTCTGGCCTCTTCTCCCCAGTATGAGATTGGAGAACAACCTAATTAAATAGCAGGAGGGGTCTTGCCCCTTGGGGACTGAGGGGTGACAGTGGCTGCTTTTAAATCCATTGCTTGGTAGACCCGTGTCTGAAATTAGAATTCAGGGGGGAAAGCTATGTATGTTTTTTAAAAATTATTTTTAACTCTTTCATCTGTTTTTTTGAGGGGAAGGGGGATTGTTTGTTTTTCTTTTTTCTAACCCGCTAGTAACTGGGTGTCACCTGTACTGCAATTAAATTAGTACTGCAATTAAACTGCACTACAATGAATAATTCCTAAACCCAGTGGCACAATGAGAGCTCTTGGGCTTAAAAAACCACAAAGAAAAAAAAAAAAAAAGATTCCCAACCCACTCTCAAAGATTGCCATTCACTTACACGTGGGACCCAGGGATAAGCATTTTCAACGAAAGCACTGGATCCTGTGGGTCTGCAGCCTGATTTGGGGGATGCTCTGACTTAAAGTGCCTTTTCTACTGTAAAACTGCTGTCAGGAATTCAGACAATGCACCCTCTTAAAGTGAGGGTGGTAGGTGGGGTGGGGTGGGGTGGGGGTGCAGTGGGCGGGGAAACGGAGGAAACCAGGAACAAAGAGCAGAGCTCCAAGAAGAAAAAGAAGGTACACCAAGTGACCGTCTGGTAGACTCTTACGGAAACCTCTCCGCACCCCACCCCCTGTTCATTCTTCTGAGCAGGCATTCGGGATGCCCTCTTTCCTGCAGACCGTTGCACTCCTGAAGGCCCCCTCAATTCAATGATGAGGTCCACCCAGGTCCTGCTTTTCTCCATGGCAGACGCGGGCGTGGCCGCTTCCTCCTCCTCCAGGACTGCCTCCTTCCAGCTTGAAGGGAGGGCAGCAGATGCCCGGCACTGGGGCTTAGGCGCTCGCAGGTGGAGAGACCCCAGCTGGGGTGGGCCTCGCTGCGTCCCTCCACAGTCCCTGGGGCCCCCACGGCCAGCGCTGGGCGGAGGGGGCGGGGCGGGGCTGGCTTCAGCTGGAGGCCATCTTTGGCAGGGCTTTTGAAGGGCACGGTAGGCCAGGCCTGCTGGGGAGGAGAGAACAAAGAGGAGACTGAAGAGCTGTGGTCAGCGGGGCAGCACCAGCGCCTTCTGAAAAGGGCAAAGTCGTGCTTTTTGTTCGCTCTGATCTACAAAATATGGGCATTGTGAAATGAGTACCGTGAAGTTCAAGGAAATCTCACCTAGCTAGCTAGAACTGGCTCCCCAGCAACCGTGTACCTAGGAAACAGCACTGAGGCGAACATACTTTCTGAACAAGGACCGAATGAACCTGCTAACGAGATGGAATGCCGGTCTACCTCTGAATCACACTGTCAGGAAGGAGTACCTCAGACCAGCTCACCGCCCAAAACAATGACTGGCCAGCCTGTAGGACAAGGCAGGGATGAGTTTCTGAGACTGTAACTGCGTACGGGAGTAGAATGCCTGTCTTTCTCCCACTGAGCAGCTGGTGGTTTCCAACTATTGACCTTGCAGATCGAAATCCAATTCATAATCACTATCCAAGACAAAGAAAAGGGCTCAGCCGGGAACATGGCCACAAACACAGCCCTCTGAGTTCGGGTAGGGTAGAAATGTCAGCTTAGTACACTATTCAGTATACTCCTACAGTTGACAAAAAAGACACCATTAAACTATAGGAAAAAATATTGCTCATATCATTACCTTGAATTGTTAAGAAAAGTTTCACTGTGTTTAATGCCCTACGTAAGAGTAGCACACACCACTTTAGAAAAGGTTTTTGTTCAAAATTATAATTAAAACAAAACAAAAACTAATGCTTTCTAAGGGTTATGCCTCGAGTTGTCCAATATGAAAAGTCTGGTGGCACAATTGCTAAGTGCTTGGCTGCTGCCCAAAAGGTGACTTCAAACCCAGTAGCTGCTCCCAGGGAGAAAAACATGGCAGGCTGGTCTAAAGATCACAGCCTTGGAATCCCTGCAGGGCAGTTCTACTTGGCCCTATAAGGTCACTGTTGAAATCCGCCATGGGATCCAAAATTTTATTCTGTGGTGCTTTTTTGAGTTTTCTATGAATTGATGCACTTGAATTGGTGAAGAACATAGAAAGTACCATGGGCTGCCAAAGGAACAAACACATCTGTTGGGGGATAGTACAGCCAAAATGCTCCCTAGAAGCAAGGGTGGTGAGACTTTGTCTCATGTATTTTGGCTATGCTACCATGACAGACCAATCCCTGGAGAAGGAGGACATCATGCTTGGTACAGTAGCGATTCAGTGCAAAAGAGGAAGGCCCTGAACAAGATGGATTGACACAGTGGCTACACGGATGGACTCAAACATAACTAGCTAAAGACCAGGCAGTATTTCTGTTGTGCATAGGATCACTAGGAATCCGCCAACTCAGCAAATGCGCATCCAGAAAGCTGTCCCTATCATGCAAAAACCACATAGATGATATTTGCAATAATAAAAGTCACATTTATTGAACACACCCTATGTCAGTGCTATTCTAATCCCTATTTATCCAACGAGACAATGGACTCATAATGTGAGTGTTAGAGCACCTTAGAAAATAACAAAATTTCCTTTTCCGTATGCACAAATGTAAGGTTTAATGAAACTAAATTTTAGGAAACTGAGGTATGTTGAGGATTGGGGGTAGGGCAAGATTGCAACCCTAGATCTTGATGAATTCTCTTTTCTCAAATACTGTTTCTCCTGCCTTATAGAATAATTTTTCCACTCTTTTTCCTTTTCCCCCCGACCCTAAACTCCTTTCCCAGTTACCACAGTATTGTCCTCACTCCCCGTACTCCAAAAAGAATAGGCTTGTTTGGAGGTTAATTTATCCTCAACTAGCAGCCACCATGGAAACCTTCTTGATGAAAATCCTTTCAAGTCCCCTATGATCTCTTAATGCTCGGACAATTTCCATCACAGCAACGATTTCCATCTCAGCAGAATGCATTTTCACCACCTCCTGCCATCCCTTACACTCTTCCCATCAGTCAATTGAATTTCTCCTTTGCTGCATTCCTGTTGGTATTTATAGAACAGGTAGGTGGTATGAATTTTAATTCTTTCTGCAATTCTCTTTAGTTGGGAGTTTCTTCTACCCCATGATGTATCAGCCCTGCCTTTAACCATGGTCAAATCAAGGTCCACACAATGGGGATTACAAGGCCTCCTTACCTTCTACATCCTGAGGGCTTATTTTCTGGAGGTTTCTGATACATTTACCTGCATCGCTATTTCATAAACTTACTTCCAAGTCACCATGCTCTTCACCTATGCAACATGCAGCTCAATTATGTGAGTTAATTGCTCTCGCCTTTTCAGGTCACAGGAAATGTTTGTGTTGCTTCTGTCATTCACTCAACTATTCATTCAGCAGCTACTGTGTGTTGTGCTGGGTCCTGAGACAGAAATGGTCCCTGCTCCCATGTTAATGAACATTCTAGAGCAGAAGTTCTCAACCAGGAATGGCTGTGGTCCTTCAGAGGACATTAGCAATGCCTGTGGACATCGCAGCTGGATGCTGCTAAACACTGGTACAATGCACCAGACACCACCACCACCACCACCACCATCCAACCAAGAACAGTGCTGATATT